CCTCCTCCTCCTCCTCCTCCTCCTCCTCCTCCTCCTCCTCCTCCTCCTCCTCCTCCCCCCTGGGCCCCAGGGCCGTCCAAAAGCGGCCGGGGATGCAAGGTCGGTCCGCGGGAGGGCGTCCAGACCTCTGGGGTTCGGCCCCGCTTCGGGGAGAGTGCGCGGGCTCGTGCCAGGGAGATGGATGCACCCGCCGTGGCCGGCCTGGGCGAGAACTGGGCGTTGCGTAATGGGGGGGTCATAAATGGGGGGTTGGTGAGAGTGGTCCGAAAAGGTACCCCCCCATTTGTGACCCCCCCATTAAGCCACGCCCAAGAGAACTGGGATGACATGTGGCCGCGTATCTTTCCAGCTGGTTCGCAGCCGGGCTGTTGATGTCTGGGCCTCCAAGAAAGGGTCCGAGCAGATGGGGTCGTTAGGATCGCGCCGCTCCGCCGCCCGCATCGACGATGCGGGGCGATGCGGAGCCCGACGTTCACCACGCCGACGTTGCCGGTGCACAGCCAATGCCGCCTCGGCCATGCATCGAGGAGGCGGCGCCATCCTCGGACCCGACACCAGACCCCCGACGTCATGATTTGTTCATAACGTCGACCCCCAGAGGTCTCGACCCATTCCCTTGGACCGGTTTTTCGTCCCGCGTCGTTGTTTGGCGCTCCCGAGGCCCGCTGAGGGCCCTGAAAGGCAGAAAAGAAAGAAACCCGCCCGTCGCGAATTTTCCATGACCCGAGGGGGTCTGGGACCTCATCAGCTCGGACCCCAATTGGGAGGCCTGCAGTCACCGGAGGGCCAGACGAACCCCTGGCGGCACTCCCCGCCGGTTTTGCTCGTCCGTCTTGTTGGGGGCCTCCTGTGGAGACGTCTCGCCGCCACGGCCAGGGGCGCATCGAGGGAAGCAGGGCTCGCTTTTCGTCTCCCCGTCCCCTCCCCATTCGTCTTCGCCCTCCCCTCCCATCCCCTCCTTCGTCTTCCCATCCCCTCCTTCGTTCAGGAGGGGAAAAAACACACACACACACACACACACACACACACAAAAAAAAAACACAGTGAATCGTCAATTCCCAGGAAGATATGGGAAAGTATGGGAGGTGGGGGGAAGACAGAAACCCACGAAATATTACAACATACTGGGAGTAGTGGCATTTGTGTGTGTATTTATTTGTGTGTCCTTGGGCCCCTTCATTCGTCTCCCCATCCCCCACCCCCTCGCACCCCCTCCCATCCCATCTTCGGATGTGGGGATGTGGGCCCCCGGAGGCCGATCTTCGGGGGACGTGGGCAGGTAAGGAGAGCCGCCCCTGCCGTCAGCGGTTCCGCAACGGGTATTCGCTAGCGGGTGTGTTGAAATGTTGCCGAAAATTGCCACTCGAGGGCCTCTTTCTGGCATGTTGTAGCGTTGCCCACGTCGGGAAGGGTTGGGTTCGCTGGGTCACTGGCCAAAGCACCCGTTCGTGGAGTCCCCGTGGGAGGGGCGCTGATGCCTCAGCATGGTCCTCCTCCGAGGTTGGGCCACGGTGGGGTTCAGGGAACGAGCCCAGCCGGGGGCTCATGTTTCATTTTTGACTGGGGCCTTCCAACGCGATGTTCCGTTCCGCCAACATCCCCCCTCCCTGGCCCTTCCCCCCCCCGAGAGGCCGTGCCGTACAGGGTGCAGGTGGAGGGCGAAGGGTCTCCCGTGCCGGCTAGAAGCAGTGATCGTTCTTGCATCCGCATCTCCCTCTTGTTGCTGTTGGTGTTCCTCCTCACCCTCCTCCTCGTGCTCTTTCTCCTCGCTTGCTGCAAGCTCCCCACAGTCGTGATCTTTCTTGTTTGTTGCATCCGCTCAATCATCATCCTCACCACCGTCATCAAAATATGTGTTGTCATTTCCCGTCATCCTCCTCCACCTTTAGCTTAAAGCCCCCTCCTCCTTCTTCTCCTGTTCCTCGTCCCCATGCGGGATGTTGGTTTCCGCGGGGAGTCGGGGCTTTGGAAAAATGTTTCCAGACCTGTGTCGGCCCTTCGTAAGTCCTGTGAGCGCATTTCGTGGAACATGGCAACTTTTGCCACGATCACTTCGGACCAAGGAGACAAGATTGTGCTTACTGAAGTTCCGCCTCAGCTGCTGACGGCGCTTCTCAAGGAAGCGCTTATTCGTGGGCTGGAGTGGGACTTGGGGCCCCAATTTGACCTGGATGGGAGGGCGTGCGTGTCGATGGAGTGTTGAGATGGCCCCGGAGCTCTCGGCTCAGTCCTTTTCAGAAAAAAGGTTGTGTGAGGTCTTTGTGTGGCTACGCCATTTCTACTAGGCAGCGCGCTGCCGACTTCGGCTACGTCATTCGGGGGCGGACAGAACCCCCAACAGTGACACGTCGATTAGTGAATTGTCCGTTGTCGGTTCTCGAGAGGGCGCCGTGGCCGTTGTTTTCCAGGCTTGCGCCCGCCAGGTTTGGGCCTCGGGTCGTTTTCACTAAACCACGTTTTACTAAAGGGAGGTCCGTCCATCCCCAAAAAAGGTTGTGTGAGGTCTTGGTTTTGCTATGCCACTTCTACTAGGCGGCGCGCTGCCGACGTCGGCTACGTTATATTGCCCACGCCGTGCCCGCTGTGCCTCGGCGCGGAATCAGAGCGTGAATGACGTGCCCCGCTCTCGCTTCCAGGCAAAACCAAGTCATACCACGCGCCTCCTCTTCAGGCGGCCTGACCAGTGCAGACCGTAGTTTGGCATCGCTTGGCATCTCTTGGCAGCGAGGGTGGCCCAAAGCGAGGTAGGTGACGCTGACGACCTCCCTCCCCCTCCTGGTGGTGGTGGTGGTCCCCCGGGTGCTGACAGCCGTCCTAATTAGCTCCGCTTCAGTCCTGTGGTCCACCGGCCCTTTTCCCGCTACTGCGGCCCAGGGGCTTCCCAAGGTTTGAACAGCGCTGCGCGTTGTTTTCAACAGCAGCTAGGGCAAAGGCACCCTGCCGCTTTCAATTCTCAGGACCGGGTGAGGAGGCGGGCGGCGGACGCGGACGGCGTCCTCGCGTGCTTTTCGCGGCTCTCGGCCACCCTGCCGGGCCTTTCCCTCGCCTTCTCTTCCGTCGGCTGGCGTGCAAGGTCGAAGGGGCCCCTCCTACTGGCGGGGGCTCCACGTTCGACAGCGCTTTCGTCGGGGATCTACTCACGGACGGGTCGTGCAGCAAGAGGGTCATCCCCGAACTCGATCGTGCGGGTGGGGCCTTCTCGCTCTGGCATCGTGGCGCAGGTCTCGAGATCGTTCGAGCGCGGGGGCCCAGTCGGGCCCCCGCGTCCACGGACGGCGCAGGCCGCTGAGTTTCACGCTTATTCGATCGCGCTGCAGTGGACGAGTGGTCCTTGCGAGTTGTTTGTTGACTGTAAAGCTTGCGTTGATTTTCATGCCCATATGGGGAAATCAATGCTCTCCTAAGCGTTCGTACGCTGGAGTTGCCCAATGTTGTCGAGGGTTTCCCCAGCGGTGCAAAGTGCACAAAGTCAAGGCCCACCAGTCCATCGAAGGGGCCGAAGATCGCTGGGATCTGTACTTGCGTGAAGGTAACCATGCTGTCGACGTCTCGGCGAAGCAAGCTGTGTTGATCCACCCGTAGCATGACAGCACGGAAGCTGAGGATAATTGCAAGCTGGCCATTGCGAGAGCTGTGGGCAGCATGGCCGCGAAGCTCTTACCATTCTGGCCGCGGCTCGATCTAGGGCCAACTGCACAGAGGGTCCCTGTTGCCGCCCCTGTAAGCAAAGAGCAGGGCCCGACGCACGCTTGGAGCTGGACAGGACGTTTGTGGCATTGACCAAGATGTTGTCGTGGATCACGTTCAGCCGACAAGCCGCCGCCCGCGAGCTTGTGCCGTGGCGGCGCTGGCCTCGGGATCCGTGGCATGGATGCTCCTGCGTTGTCTGCTCTGGGGCACAACACACGACGCCTCGGACGGCAGTTTTGTGTTTGGTGTCCTCAAATGCACGTTCTGCACTGGAGGCCAGCAGGTTCGAGGCCCCCGACACCCTGCCAGCCGATCCCGGCGGCTGGAGTTCAGGATCGGAAGCATGCCTGGGGGCAGGTCGCGAGGGGACGGCGTCCCAATCGCGGAGACGTCACGGTCTTTGTTGGCCCCTGGGCCAATATGGAGGAGGAGGAGGAGGAGGAGGAGGAGGAGGAGGAGGAGGAGGAGGAGGAGGCCCCCGCCCCCGCTGTTGAGCCTCCCCCCCTCGGCTTTGGAGCAGGAGGAGGATGCTCACGAGAGGCGTTGGGGCCGATTTGGCCCACCGCCTCTCGGTTGCCACTCCGCGCCTGGCTGAAGATCTTGGGCGTCGCTGGCCAGAGCCAGCACGCACGATTCATCATCACCTCGGAGACAGCGAAACTGATTAGGCATTTCGGAGCCTGCTCCATGATTTGTCTGGTCAGGTGGTGGGGTCGGGGGTCGGGTCCTGTTTTGGGGTAGCCCTGGGTCAGTGCCCGCCCCGCCCTACCTTGCGGTGTCTGGCTGGATTTCGCCTTTCGTTTATTCTTGTGCGTTGCTGGCTTGCGCCAGCACGCTGCTTCCCTCGCCGCGGCGGCGGCTCTGTTCAGACATGTATCGAACCGCCCCATATTTGACTGGGTGTATGGTGGAGTCGTGGGTCGGGTCCTGTACCAGGGTTCCCCCAAGTCTGCACCCGCCCGTTCAAGCCTAGAACGGACCCGTTCTTGGCTAGAACGGGGCCGTTTTAGTCTAGAGCGGGGTCGTTCTAGTCCAGAACGGCTCCCTTCATGCCCTGGTGACGCCAGGCAAGGCTTCACCTTTTGTTATTTTCCCCCCCAGCCTCCGTGCGCGGGTGTAAACTTCGAGCCTGCTTGTTAGAGTGTTTGAGGTCGTTTTTTTTGTTTTTGCCTCGGGGGGCTCGCCATCCCCTGAGGTGACGCGCGGGCCACGCTGCGCTGCGGCAGAAAAATCCTCGTCCCAACGCCTGCTCTGCCTGCCGCGTCCGGGGAGGTTTCAGGGCGGTTCAGGGACTTCGGGCTGTTCCAAGAGGCCCCAGAAGCTAGGAGAAGGAAGAGGAAAAGAAGGGGCGGTTGAGCAGGGCCGAGGAGAGCGCTTTACTCTGCAGGACTAGCAAAAAAAGGACGTCAAGGTGGTCAAACGCTGCGCCGGTTAAGCCGATGAACGTGTGCAGAGTCCAACTGTTCGCTTATGTCCAAAGTTTTGGCTTGACGCCGGGTGTGGTACATTAGCTTCAGCTTGACCGAACATGTTGATTACGCCCCTTGACGTCGGTTGGGGGTGTTCGTCAGACCTGACCCCCCAAACCCCACTCAAAGGAGATGTTCGAAAAGATGTTGTGGAGGTTTGTCCAATAAGGGGAGGAGCAGGAAGAGGACATATAGTTCGACCGCGCGCTACGATGTGTAGCCGAGGCCTGCTCTGGCCAGGAGGCCTTTTTCTTTTCCCACCTTCTAGCAGCACGACGGCTGTACTGTTCAGTCGGGCACGTCCTTCTACAGGAGGGATATTCAACAATGATGAAAACCATAATCTGGGGACGACTTTTGTGCACATTTGTTTTATCAGTTTTCCCAATTTGCTCTCTTCCAAAACCCGCCTGTAGGAGGACACGCCCGACTTAACTGTACTTGGCGTTGCCCTTCTTCACCTGCCACTGGCGAGTTTTGCTCCCGCCCTGGAGACGTCATGAGGAGGAGGAGGAGGAGGAGGAGGAGGAGGAGGAGGAGGAGGAGGAGGAGGAGCAGGTCCAGGAAGGGGAGGAGGAGGAGGAGGAGGAGGAGGAGGAGGCCCCTGGAGAACCGATCGAGGCCAAAGACGCCCGACGGGGTCAGGATTTGCCCTCGTCGGGCGCCCTCGGCCTCCACGGAGCCGCCAACCTTGAGACGAAGCCAGGACGAGGATAAGATCGGGTGGGGATGAATCGAGAACCTCTGAGATCCAGCGGCTCTGGAGGATGAATCGGGCGCCGCGGCCCTCTCAGAGCGTTCCGGAACGCCCTGAGGGCGTTATGGTACGCTCTGGAACTAATCTATCCTCGTCCAAACGACACTTCGGCGTGGTGCTCTTCTCGACAACGAAGTATAAAACAACAAACATTCTCTCTCACAGAACTCAAGAAATCCCCCCGACTTCTGCGAAGCTGTCTGAGCCTTCCCCGGAGACACAACATCTTCTCAGAAGGCGCGAAAACTTCTGAGAAGTCCCACCGTCTTTGAGAAGGCCTTCTCCTCCTCCTCTTCCTCCTCCTCCTCCTCTTCCTCCTTCTCCTCCTCCTCCTCCTATTCCTCCTCCTCCTCCTCCTCCTCGTCCTTCTCCTCCTCATCTCCCCCCCTCGCTCGCCGCCGATCCGGGGGCGCGCCCGCGGAAGTCCGGGCATGTCTTCCAGGGGCCCGCTCTGTCTGCCGCGGGGCGTCTCGAGGGCCTCCTGGAGCGGCCAGGATTCTGCAGGGTCTCGCAGGATCCTCGGCGCGAGCCCCTCGGCCAGATGTATCCTCGTCCTGGCATTGTTCGGGCCTGCCCCCCTGCAGGAGTATTCAAAAATAGTCCAGAACATAGTCCGGGGACCATTGCTTTAATTTTACGATATGTATATATATATATATATGTATATATGTATAGATAGATATTGAGACTCCTCTGATTAGTTTGATCCTTCGTCCAAAATCCGCCTGTAGGAGGACATGCCCGAAAATAGTCCAGAAAATAGTCTGGGGACGATGTCTTCATTTTCATGGTGTATATATATATATACATACACAGATATTTAGATATCGATACTCCTCTGATTATTTGGACCCTTCGTCCAAAATCCGCCCGTAGGAGGACATGCCCGATTGAATCCCAGCGGCATCTCGGCGTGGTGCTCTTCGGCGCCGCCGCGCCCCCACAGCCTCACCGCCGCACAGGGGCCCGCGCCGACCGCCGCGGGGCTGCTCGGGGGCCCCCTGGTTGGAGCAAAACGCTGCTCGGGAGGGAAAGAAACACGCACAAGCACACAATTCATCGTCGCTTCCCCCGAAAGCATGGGAAAAGATGGGAAGTGGGGGGGAAGACAGAGACCCAGAAAAGATTGAAAAAGACTGGGACTCCTGTTACTTGTGTCTATTTATTTGTGTGTCCCAGGGCCCCTTCTATTACTAGGGGTTTCTCAATAAACGTGGGGGGGTACCCCCCCGACGGGGGTCAACCTCGCCTCGTCGTCGCTCCGAACCGGGGGTCGGAGTGCCCTCGGCACGCGGTGGCGGCCCGCGACGGGGGTCGGTGTGGGGCTGTCGGCGGGGGTGGCGCCCCCCCGAGACTTATCAAGAAACTCGGAGTAGGGGCAGGGGGGGGGGGGCGGTCGAGCGAGCATCGCGGAGCGAGGACTCCTCGATGGTCCTCGTCCCTGGATCCTCGAGAGCTCCTGGGCCCTCGAGCCTGGATCCTCGGCCCATCTCGACAAGGAGGGTCGAGGGTCCAGCAGGCTCGAGGGTTCAGGGTCGAGCCCCGAGGGCCGAGGGACGAGAGCAGCGCAGCGAGCATCGAGGCTCCAGGGTCTAGGATCCGGGGGTCAAGGGTCCAGGATCCAGTCGGCGTCGCCCCAGCAAACGAGTATCGGAAATTGGAACATATGCATTGCAAGTGGCGGGCTGCTCTTCAATCCCAGGACTTCCTGAGGGTCGGGTACGACGTCGGGGCGGTGTAGTGTACAGTCAACCCGCACAGGAAGGATGGGCAACGCAACCTTCCCAAGGGTACCCTTGCATCCTTGCCTCCTGAGTCCATCCTTGGCCACTTTTGTTGGCCGCGCCCTGCTCGAAAAGCTTCGAAACGGCCTTCCAAGGCTCTTGCATCCTGATCGCACATCCTTGTGATACGGGCCCACTGTAGACTTGTTTCTCCCGCTTCTCTGGGGAGCATCGAAAAATGTACGCACCAGGAGCCCGTATACACACCAGGATCCGCTTTCCTGTGCAGGTGTCAGCGTAGGGCCAGCAAATGCGTCGATGCACAGAGTTTGTCGCCCTACTTGGAGGCCTCGGGAGGGGCCCCTTTGTCGGACGGGGCCGGGACGAGGATCAATCCGCTCCAGAGCGTGCCGGCACGCTCTGGGGAGGCCGCGGCGCCCGAGACCTCCTCCAGAGCCGCTGGCTCTCGGCGAGTCTCGATTCCTCCTGTCCTCGTCCTGGCTTCGTCTTACTTGGAGGCCGCGGGAGCGGCCCCCCGGGAGCCTTTTCGGGGTCCCTGGGTGCTTTCTGGGGCCCCTGCTCCATACCCCCACTGGGCCCTGTACTCCGCTGTGGAAGGCCCCGCAACCCTGCATGGCAGGGTCGATGTCGACCCGGCAGATCCGATTCGATATCGTTTTCGGCCAGCCCGACCCGCTTCGGCTCTGGTACAGTCCACCCACATAGCAAGGATGGGTAAGCTTCCCAAGGGCACGTACCCTTTCATCCTTGCCCCTTTGGCCCATGCTCAGCGAATTTCGCCGGCCAGCCTTGTTCGAGAAACGTTCGCGTGGGCCTCCAAAGCCCTTGCATCCTTACGGGGCATCTTTATGATGCGGGTTGACTGTAGTCGAGCGGTGCGATGCGGCCCGATGCATGCACGTCGCAGTCGTACCTCCCGGCGCGGCCGATCCGAAGAATCGGTTGTGCTTTCCGGGAGCCCGCGGGCGGCCATCTGGAAAAGTGAGAAGATTTGGCGAGCCCATCAGCTGAGATTCTCCTCCTCCTCCTCCTCCTCCTCCTCCTCCTCTTCCTCCTCCTCGTCCTCCTCCTCCTCTTCCTCCTCCTACGGCGCCCTCCGCTGACCCTCATCAGACCCGATGCAGCATCGCTTGGTCCAAGCATTGCTGCAGGAATCGTCGTTTGTCGTTGTCCTGTTCTCTCTGCCCAGGTCTTACCTCTGCGTCCGGGACGAGCACACGCTGATCCGGAGGCCGGAGAACGCGCCGAGAACGCCAGGGATTGGCATATCCAAACGTTTCGAGAAGCGGAAGTTGAAAGACGGCACCGTGGAAAATTTCGATCACTTGACCCTCCGCGGGAGGGTCGTGCAGGACCACGGCATGGACAAATTGTTGTAGCAGCTTGTTCGAGATAAACTTTTTTGCGGCGTGATCGTGGTTCCCGTCCCCCCATTGTGCACTCTCGCGCCGCGCCTTGGCAGCGCCTGCCCGCGCCAGTTCGCTCTACTGGCAGCTACGGGTCTCCTGTACAGAGCGCCCGAGGGGTGGCTTCTTTTTAGTTGCGGCGCAGCGGTGGCCCGGGCTGGCTTCTCTAGGTCGGCAGATACGGGCATCCAGTACAGAGCGCCCGAGGGGTGTGTTTTTTTGTTCAGCCCTGCTCAGGACGGGATGCCGAAGCGGGCTTGGGAGCGGACGCTCGAGGACCAAAAAAGTTGTTCGTGCGTGCGTGCTCCCTGGCTCTTTAAGCCCGCTCCTCTGTGATTCTCTTCGCAGTTCAACGATGCCAGCGTGGGTCCTACAGAAGGAACGATTGCAAAGCATAGAGTGTAATCTGTGTGGCGCGGTCTGCGTGGTGCAAGTGGGGGGGGGGGGGGCGGTATCTGTGGCGCAATTTCAATATGTGGCGCAGCATGTGAAAGATCGCGTTCCGTGGTTCTCCCTGGACGGAGGCGGGGGGGGGTTCGAACCCCCCCCTCCCGTGACGGAGGGGGGGGGAGGTTGGACCCGCCCCCTTTCCTCCCCTGCTTCTCCTCTCTCCCTCTCCTCGGGCTGACGCCTGCGTCTGGGGCGGCTGGCGGCGGCGAAGGGGACGACGATTTCTTTTTCTGGGTCAGCGCCGGCGCCTGCGGCGGCGGGCGGCGGCGGCGGGGAGCGTCGACAGGGACGACGGTGGTGGTGGTGGGTTCTGGTGGTGGTGGTAGCGGTGGCGGTGGTTGTGGTGGCGGTGGTGTGTTGTTTGTGGTGGTGGTGGTTGTGGTGGTGGTGGTGGTGGTGGGGGGTGGTGGTGGTGGTGGTGGTGTGGTGGTGGTGGTGTGGTGGGTGGTGGTGGTGGTGGTGATGGTGGTGGTGGTGGTGATGGTGGTGATGGTGGTGGCGGTGGTGGTGGTGGTGATTTGTGGTGGTGGTGGTGGTGGGTTGTGGTGGTGGTGGTGGTTTGGTGTTGGTGTGGTGGTGGTTTGTGGTGGTGGTGGTGGTGGGTTGTGGTGGTGGCGGTGATTTGTGTTGTGGCGGTGGTGGCGGTGATGGTGGTGGTGGTGGTGTGGTGGTTTATGGTCGTGGTGGTGGTGACGGTGGGTTGTGCTGCTGGTAGTGGTGGTGGTTATGGCGGTGTGTGGTGGCGGTGGTGTGGTAGATTGTGGTTGTGGTGGTAGTGGTAGTGGGTTTTTGTGGTGGTGGTGGTGGTGATGGTGACTTGTGGTGGTGATAGTGGTTGTAGTGGTGGTGGTGGTGGTGGTGGTGGTGGTGGCTGTGGTGGTGGTGGTTGTGTGGTGGGTTGGTGGTGGTGGCGGCGGGTTGAGGCGGTGGTGGTGGTGGTAATGGCGGCGGTGGTGGTGGTGGTAATGGTGGCAATCGTCGCTGCGTCCCCGCCGTCGCCGGCGCCCAAGGGGGGGTTTTACCACCCCCCCCTTTGGGCTGCCTCTGGTCCTCGTCGCTGCGTCCCCGCCGTCGGCGCTGCTGGCGGCCGCCAGCGCCAGTTCTGGCGCCGGCGCCGGGGGGGATGGGTTGAACCCCTCCTTTTCTGGGGAAGCGGGGGAGGGAGGGGGTTCGGGAGGGGGGGGGTGGGGGGGAGGGGAGCCCCCCTGGTTTTGATCGACGGCGCCGAGAGTTGGGGGGGAGGGGCCACCCATCGATTCGAAACGCGCCGCCGAATGTTTTCAAAGCAAGCGCCCGTGAAACGCGCTCTCTCAGAGATGTGTCCGTAAAGAGCAGCTACGTATTGTATGTAGCATACGGTGCATCCTTGATGGCGACACCTGCGGGGCGCAATGTCTGTGGCGCAGTCAATATGGTGACATACATGTGGTGCCATCTGGGTGGTGACATGCTTGCGCGTCCAGCGAGTGTTGTGCAGCCTACGTGGTGCAGTATAGGCCACATGTATTTCTGCACGTGTGATGAGAGGCGCTATGTTGAGAGACCTTTCTTGTGTTGGTGACCTGGAATACACACATGTGAAAATACGTAAGCATTGGCAAACCACATGCAAACTGGACATGCGACGACGAACCTTCACATGTGAACGCACATCACCTCTGCATGCACTTATAAACGAGAGCCCACGGTGGCGAATACTTGCCACGCAAATTCCTTCCGTATGGAAGTTCCGCACTTCTCTAGTCAAAACAGCAAGTCTGGAAATGCTGTACCATGCGATCCTTTGCGCGGTGGCTTGCAATCCTTGACAGTGTTAGTTACGGCCAGAACCCAATTGACGATGTAGTTCGGCGATTTATTATATGTATATGCGTACTACCTGGGACTTCTTGCTGTAGTCGATGATGTGTGGAATTTGCCCGTAAGGGTTTTTGCAATATCTGTTTTGCAGGGATTCGCAGCGCGTTTCTTTTCCACCCGGGGATATTGAATTTACGAAGAAGACAACAGCAACAAGCTTGGCCTCGAGCCGAGCCCTAAGCAGCTGCGCTGGCCGCAGGAGGAGTGGGGCCCTCCTCGTGTTTGGGCTCTCCAAGACGGGCCTCGCCTTCGAGGAATCGAAAGAGTTGACGTCTCTTCCCCAGCGGAAGGCGACGGGAGTCGGCGGAGGCAAGACGAGGACGGCTTCGCCGACGGACGCCGGCGGAAGGCCAGCGGAAGCAGACGCTGCGTCCCCAGGACGTGCCCACTCGTGGGCACCCGGGTGTCCCAGAGCCCGCCTTGCGTTGCGCGCCGCGGGCGGGACGGATGGAGTTCGGGGCAGTGCGGGCACGGACGTTGCGGACCAGGCCCCGCGCGCAGACGCTGCCGCATCGGGGCGGGGCACGCCCCCAAGGGAAAGAGTGCGGGCGAGAAGGTGTGCACAGACACCGACGTCGGGCAGGGCAAGAGCAGGGGGAGCAGCAGCAGCAGGAGCAGGACTGGGGGAGGGGGGGGGGCATTCGTACAGGCGGGGGACGGAGACTACCAGTTTGAAACATGTCCCTATCCCTGTGTCTGGCATCGCATCGCCTCGATGCCGAGCTTCTTCAGCTTCTGAGAGCGCATCCCTGAGATTGTCCTCGCTTTTTGCTCGCCCATCCTAGGGGCAGGGACAAGGCTGGTTAGAGGAGCGGTTGCTGAGAGCACATCCCTGAGACTGTCCTCGCGTTTTGCTTGCCCCTCCTGGGGATAGGGACAAAGGCTGGTCAGAGGAGCGGTTTCCGTCCGCCTCGGGCCGCGGAGCGCGCCGCGCGGGGGCGCCCGCAGCGGAGAGAGAGGGCGCCGAGCGCCGGCGGCTGCCCGTGGAGGGGCCGCAGGCGGGGCCCCTCACGGGGGGGGGGCACGGCCCTCGTGGGGGGTGCGCCGGAAGGGGCGAGTTCGGATGCAGCTCTTGGGGGGGCCAAAGTCTGACTGATGTTCCTCGAAATTTCCCGTCGTCCTTCATCTTCCTCGGTCATCTTTCATCCTCCTTCAGTATCCTTGATCCTCCCTGAGCCTCCTTGATGATCTTTAATCTTCCCAGTGGGGCTCAATCCTCCTTGGTTATCTTTAATCCTTAATCTTCTTTGGTTATCTTGAATCCTCCTTCATTATCCTTAATCCTCCCTGATCCTCCCTGATGATCTTTCATCCTCCCCAACGGGGCCCAATCCTCCCTAGTCCTTCCGGCGAAGACCTCCCAGCAGTTGCCTCCTCAGGCGAGGTGCCGCCACGCCGACCTTCCCCCGGGGCGCGCCGAAGTGGGCGCGGGCTCCCGCCCTGTGGGCTCTCTCACTGGGGCCGCCGGTGGAGCCCCGGTTTCGGGGCGCGGTCCCTCGCGAGGGGAAGTGCCGAAACGTGGGCGCGACGCCGCCACGCGCGCCCTCACACTGTAGAGACGTGAGCAGAGCTCCATGTGGAGGCACGATCCTCGCGAGAGGTGCGCCGAACCAGGGGCAGCGCCGCCATGCGGACCTGCCGACCACTGAGGCCGTGAGTGGAGCTCCGTGTGGAGGCACGATCATCGTGAGGGGCGTGCCGAACTAGGGGCAGCGCCGCCATGCGGACCCTCCACTGAGGCCGTGAGCGGCGCCGCCACGCGGGCCCTCCCACTGGAGCCGTAGGTGAAGTTTCCCGTTGTGGCACGAAGCGCGTAAGGGATTGTGTCGACATGGATATGCAGGGGCAGAGAGAGGAGGCGGGAGAGCCACGAGTCCCCCCTTCATTTCTCTTCCTTCTTCGAGCAAAGCTGGGTCCTAGTGGTCGAGGCGCCTCCAGAGGAGTGGCGCCTGCCTTCGTGTACCGTCCCACAGTTGTTCCCATTTCCGGTGCACGATTTTCCACAGACGGGCGCGTTCCAAGCCGCTACGGAACGGAGGGGCGGGCGGGAGTTCGAGCGTGGTGCTGCAGAGTCCACTCTGGGGCCTTGCAACGCAAGACAGCCTGAAAGGAAAACACGCAGCCTGGACGACCAACAACGTTGGGATGTCACTTTGAAGTTTCATGTCCAAAAATTGACAGCAGCCACTACGCTCACACACTGACACACACACACACGCAAGACAGATTGGAGGCAAGGGAGGCATTTGATTTTGAGATTTTGATTGTGTGTTGGGCAATCCAAATCGTATGGTTGTCCAACTCCAAGACCTTAGCCCGTGCGATCCAGCCACATGTAAGTATATGTGTGTGTGCACGTGCAAATTCCCGGAGAGCTCTCTGAGAGCTATAGGGTTTTAGATTAGAAGCCGGACAGTGGTGGTGCCTGCCAGCAGCCCAACTTCGCCGCTCCAGAATCCCCGCAGCGACTTGTTTGAGGTCGCAGCGTGTCCGGGAGCGCTTCCGGCACGCGTCCACGCGTGCCTGCACGCGTGCAGGCACGCGTGGAAGCGTGCCTGGCAGCACTTCAGAAGCGCTGCAGGAGAGCTCCCCAGAGCTCGTCAGGAAAGCTTTCCAGATGTGAGTGCCTCTTTGCTCTCCGGGTTTTGGACGCTACCAAGTGTGCATCTGCATGCGTAAAGCTGTGTCCTCATGGACACACCTCCTCTCTGCGTGCCGCATCGCATCGCATCGCAGCTCGCATCGCTCCACGGCGTTGGCCCGAGCACATCGGCCACCCGTTGCGCGCGGCACCCCCTTGCCGCCCCTTGGAGACGATGGCGTGCCGAGGCTGTGCGTGCCTGCGCGCCCTCCTTGGTGGCGGCACCAGGCATCTCGCGGGCGGGACATGCGGCCACGCCCACAGCTCAGGGGCAACGATAGGGGGAACAGGCTAGGGTGCCACATGCGAACCCTACCCCTACCCCCACGATTTTTGAGTGGGAGGGTGGGGTTCACTTCGCTCAGAAACCGTGGGGGGTAGGGGTAGGGTCCGCAAGTGGCCCCCGACAGGCTCAGGGGGGAATGCCG